GTTGTAGTTGGAGTGATCCTCATGCAGCTAAGGTACAGCATTTGACATTGGTCAATACCACATACCCAATCTAGTAAAATAGCGTCTTACATTATCAGCGCGACCGGCCCTTCTGCCACTTTGATGTGCCACCAGCGAGTTTGGAACTCAGAACGTGCCAACACTTGCTAGTACCTTCATTGCTTGCCTTTAACTTCTCGAGAACGATGTCAAACAATCCCAAGGGCAACAACCAATACAATAACGGTACCAGTAAGAGGATTAGTCTCAGAAGCTACTGACGCATATTCAACTAAACATTGTATGCAGAACCAAGTGATGACATACTGCGGGTGAAGTTGTTTCAATATGCCTCTGAGAATTTGAGGTATAAAGAGATGATTTCTGGTCTCGCTGCTGACCTAGGCTATCATATCCAGTTCGTTGGCATTATTTCATCTTGAATTTATTCATTACTGAGTTTCACTGTATAATTATTCAGGAAACAAAAACTTGCAGACCTTCTCAAGCGATTCGAAATACCCACTGCAAGGCGGAACTCGAAAATGCTCACCGAGGATGTCAAACAAGAACTGGTCCACGAGAAGTTACGAAATGACCCCTATCATCGCAAAGGTCCAAATACCATAAAGTCCCTTCTTCATCAAGATCTTAATCCTCTTCCTCGGTAATTCATTTTTATCTATATGTACTAATCCAGCTCATGTTTAACTTCTCAGAAGTACCGTTCGTTCAATTCAAAAGACATATGAAGGTCCAGCTGGACCCCTCTTGCGTGCTCCTGGAATGACAAATTGGATTCAATGGAAACCGCTGCTAGTTCTGGGGCCAGGTCAGGAGATGCATTCAGATGGGCACGAGAAATGGACTGCATCAGCCATTCAATTGGGGGATGTCAGTATCGGCATGTATGGTTTCTGGCAGCATGTCGGACATATACCTTATCTGACTGTTGTCCCTGATGCTCGCCATGCTGATGCAGTTGGCCATCTTCACCTGGATATGATTGAAGCTTGTGGATACCATGGGTTTCACTTAGAATTCAAGCATGTTGATTGTTTATTCAGAACAATTGATCTAGGTATCCCAGTCCAATGCACGGTCGACAAGGGATCAGAGACAGGAGAACTTTATGCGCAACAAGTTGCTTTGAGGTATGAAACAAAGAGTATTCACAAAGAATCTCCCATTTATGTATTTTTTTTTCCAGAACCGTCTTCAATCCTGAGGAGTTTCAAGACATGGAACAATGGCCGGCATTTGTTGCTGTTCCAAGCACTCGCAATATCATGGTTGAGAGCATGTGGAAATGGCTGCTTCAATTCGGTGGTCGTGAAGTCCAGGACATTCTGAAGGAAGGGAAAACGAATGGAATTTTCAAAATTGGCCATCCTGTGCACAAGTACGTGATCTTTATAAGTTATTGCACAAGGGTCCAATCTGAAATCCTCAATCTGGCATACACATTTAGAAATTTATTTCACTGGTTGTGGCACCAGATACTTCAATCCTTTCTCGACTCATTCCGTGAATACTGGAATTCGAAAAGGACAAGATACCGAGCTGACTCAGGATACCCATCTGGAACAACTCCTAATCAGATTATGCAATGCCCCGAGGAATACGGTTTGCGTGATTGCAGCATTCTTGTAAGCAAGGTAGCTATTGATGCTCTGCGGCACGAGTGCCTACCCCCTCATAAAGAAGTCTTGCGCTGGGTTGACGATGTTTTCGAACAAAATGCGCGTGCTGTTTACGAAGAGATCGGAAGTCCAAGGTTGGATAAAGGAATAACTTCTGTGCACGAAGCTTGGGCTATATTTCAGCTCATGGCACCAAGGTTAGAGAGTATTTACGGTCACAAGTAGCGAAGTTCTTAGTTATAATGTGTATTATCGGAATAACAAATTGACCCCAGGCAAGGGTAGCAGTACAGACAAGAACTTGAAAGGCACCATCCACCATCCACGAAGAGTTCATCGACGAGTCCCAAACGAGAACTAATGGCACCATCCACAAAGAGTTTATTGACGAGTCCCAGATGAGAACTTGAATGGCACCATCCACAAAGAGTTCATCGACGAGTCCCAGACGAGAACTTGAATGGCACCATCCACGAAGAGTTCATCGACGAGTCCCAGTCTACAACATGTACCATGAAGATCAACCTTGCCTCTTTGTAGAGCATGCCACAGATGGATTCATTTGCCTGTGCCATCAGCCAAAAAGTAGATGCTGGTCCACACTTGTTGAGAGGAAGGGGGCTTTCGTTAACAATAACATGGCAGATGAGGCTGATATAACCAGTGCCGGCACTCTTTCAAGCTTTGAACAGCGGAACGGAAGGGAAGTAAAAGGGTTCAAAGTGTATAACTTCCGAACAAGTATTCTAGACAGTCTGTGGTCAGAACGAGAATCTCAGTTAAGACCCAGGGTAGCAAAAAGCTATTATACAAAATTTACAGGGTTTGAACTTTTAGCCTAGGGGAGATTCCGAACTACTGTAGAACCACTGGTAGGCGGCAAATTCCGCTGGGCTAAATGAACATTACAACATTTGAAGACAAGAATGAAGGAGGAGAAACGATGGAGTGAGACAGGACGAGAAGGTGCCGGCAAATCAAAAGGCAACACCACCTTCAACTCTCCATCCAAAAGAGTTAAGTTGGTGGTTGGGGTTTGCGTGTTCAGCGAGTTCAATCTATCTGCAGTGACTGGGCATAGTTTGATCTTCACACCACCGCCGATGACACTATGAGAAGCGATTCCGGAAGAGGGCTTGGCTCGCAGAGGTTTTTTTGGGGGCAAAGGTCTGGCCTGTGGAGAACAAACAGGGGCTATGGAAGAGGTAGGAGTCACAGGGAAGCGGAAGAAACTAGAGAGTTGCCCGGAGGGGAAGATGGTGTATCATGACAGGAATGAATAGACATTGACTGATAGGGAAGTGTTTGACGGGAAGGAGTGCGGATGGACCGGTGCCTACAGAGAGCCGAGAAGGAGTACTGGGCATAGTTAGGAAGAGAGCGGGGTTGGTGGTCTGTGAGTAAGGTCTCGGGAAAAGAATTAAATTGGCAACACACCTTCTGAATCAGAAATGACCTCTCTCTGTACCCTCACTTCGACGAGCGAGAACACCAGACCAGGGCCTAACGATGGATCCTCAGAACCATGAAGAATGTTCCGTTAAGGCGTACTGTACTATTACGACCAAAAGTTCGGTCACTTTGGCCGTGACGCGATACTTTTGGTAGGGAACAAGTTCAGAGGGCTGGATGATGTGTTACGCGATGCTTTGCGGCCGAAGGCCGCACGCAAAAATTAGTTCATTATGCTGATCCGAGCTCGGGCCGCGTGACGGAATTATTAAGGTAGGTGTTCGGATGTGCATGTGACGCGTTACGATTTATGAAATGACCAAAGTTCAGGGGGGGTGCGTTATGCGTTACGCGAACTTATGGTCGTAATAGTACAGTATGTGAAAAATCCCTTTTGGAGTCGGCGCTGGGCTCTCACCTGGCAGCAAATTCCAATGAAGGAGTCCAAAAACACCCGAACAGGATGAATGTTGCCAAAACCGAAAAGCACGGAGCTAAATCGGTAGGCCGACGCGAAGTCAAGGCCAACTTGAAGGAGGGACGCAAAGAACATCATGGTCCAGTGACAGTGGAGCGTTTATCACATGACAAATTGAAATGTTGTTACGCGTTGTTCAAAATTCATCCGTGTGCGTCCGGCCGATACTACTTAATACTAGGTGTTGGAGCACGCGACGGTCAAGAGAATTTGAAATGAATTTCTGTTCTCACTTCTGCATGTGAAAAGAGCCAATCACTGCGTTTTTCTCCAAAAATACCTTGGTTCCTATACCTCGATATATACCTCCTGTACCACCTGTACTTAACACTATAACATACCCATGTAAATATAACATCATAGACCATCTATCACGGCTCCAGTATAGAACATCTATACCTTCCGTACTGACAATACATCAGACTATATCATACCAGCCTAAATAGTAAAGATTACAACGATATATCTTCACCTCCGCTGACCTCATGACACCTACAGAAAGTCCAGTATAGTTTACAAGCAAAGCAATATGATATAAACTGCAATATTTGCAGCCACACATAGAACACATTATTGTTACTGGTACAGATCCAAAAAGGACCTTATAAGCCCCAGAAAATGGGCTGTAAAGTCCCACTTGTGCACACTAAGATGCCTGCCCATCCCTCGTATACTGCTACTGCGCGTGGCCATAGAGTTTCTCGTAACATGGCCGTACCTACTATTTGTCGGACCGTCAGTGCCGGGTCCCATTCCTCGCACCTTTGTGCTCTCCAACAACCGTGGTCGGGTGAGTGTTTTACTTGTGGATGCTAGTCATGACTTGTAATTTTTGCAAATTCAGTGGGTATCAGGGATCACATTTTATCTTGGGCGTGATAAGGTGCTCTGAGCCGACGGTATTGTATGGTATTTAGTATTGGACGGGCAAGGGTGCTATTGTAGGTCGGGTGGCGCGATGGCGGGATTCTAGTATGGCAGGTGGCGGCGGGAATCGCCGAATCTATACCATTATCTCTATAGCATTATATACTGTTGCCTTTACTTATACCTATACACTACATTGTCATGGATTATTTGATTCAATCTTTCACTCATAATATTTCAGGGTCTGTACAACACGGTGTATATGGTCTTTCACCAATTATTTCCATCATTCTTTCATTCGGTATATCCTCTTATCTCTGCCATTATCTATCCGGATATCTATACTGTCTGTACCGCTGCTTGATTTATTGAGGTATTTGGCGGACGAACATCAAAATATACCCTGCTGGATAGTTGGATTGTACAACGCCATACATTCTAGGGTATTTAGGGAAAATACTGCAATCTATACGGCAGGGTATTTTTCGAGAAAGACGCAGTGAATGAGAACTGAAAACAAATGGGAAGGGATCCAGAAAAGAGGTGAGATATAGCCAAAATTCCATCGCGGGGAATCGAACCCCGGGCTGCTGTGCATTCGCAACGCATCATATCAACTATGAAAGACAGCAATGTTAGCCACTACACCACGATGGAGTTGATCACGTCTCGGCGCTGTTTAACACGTGGTTTTGAGATCCACTGAGATTTAGCTATCAATTCTTCTTCTATCCATCTCCGGCAGGAACCATTCCGTAGCTGTTCAGCTCATATACCTATATTTATCCGTCCGTCTAGGTTACTAAACCTCCAAGGAACTAGCCCAAAATAGCTTAGCCTCTTGCACGGATCGACGGCTTTCAGGCATACCCGTTCAAGCATGACATGGACCATCCAATCCGTCGGACCATGCTACTTCTGCTTCCACTCCTGTTGACTCCTTACTCTCGCTATGAAAAATATCCTTCCAAGGAAACCACGACTTTTACTATATGGGCTTGCCTGTTTCCTTCCTCGTGCATCATCAAGACAAACTACCACTTCCAACGCTACTCTCGCCTGCAACCAAGCCCAATCGATCCTAGGCGACTCAACCGTACAAACTCCAAGTGACTCAGACTACGCGGGCGCATCCACTGCCCCATGGAACCTCTTCAACACCCAATTCAAGCCCGCGTGTGTCGTTTTGCCTCGAAACAACACCGACGTCCAAGTCGCTATGCGTTCTATATTTCAATTCGATGTGGATTACGCGGTTCAGGCAGGGGGACATAGTGCAATGAAGGGGTGGAACAAGTGAGTATATGAGCTTAGGTTCTAGCCGTTCAAATCTGTTGTGATAATTTCAATTGACGTGGTTTTTACCATTCGATAATATGCTAGTGTCAATAATGGAGTACTTATATCGTTTGAGCGTATGGACAACATCTCTTACGACGCTGCTAAAGACACAATTACCTTCGAGCCTGCGATACGATGGGGAGAGATTGTAGCCACTTTGGAATCTCAAGGTGTAGCACCAGTTGGGGGACGAATCGAGTGCGTCTTGACTATTCACCATTCATAATTCAATCTCGTGTTTCTTAGAAATTCTTTGCCCTCAAATAGTGACGTAGGAACAGGTCTTTTGCTTGGTGGCGGTCTTAGCTTCCTTTCTCCCGCACACGGTTTTGCAGCAGACAACTACGTAGAACTCGATATCGTTTTAGTAGATGGCACCTTGGTCACTGCGACTGAAACCAATAACTACTCTGACTTGTTCCGAGCGCTGAAAGGTGGAGCAAACAGGTTCGGTATCGTCACACGATACGAAGTTCGAGCTGTTCATACAGGGACTGCTAATGAGAAGACGTGGTTTGGTGGGACGGTCATGGTATGTCTTTTTTATATCGAACCCGATTTGCCTCTACTAATATTTATTGCGTTTGTATAGTATCCAAACTCGTCTTTCGATGCGGTAGCCCAAGCTGTTTTTCATTATGTCCGGGACGTGGAAGATCCAAATGCAGGTACGAGAGATCCCAATCCTTCTCCTCCGATTTATTCCTCCAACCACAGATTCTCTGTTTTTAGCTCTGCTTCTGTACTTTGGAGCTCTCGTCCTCCCAGATGGTACTCTAACCTCCTTCTCAATCGCCAACATGTTCTACAACGGCAATTCTCTTCCCAATTCCACCTACGGCGAACTCCTCTCCATCCCTTCCATCTCTCAATCCCTCGGTCCTCTAAGCTGGCCCGAACTCGTCGCTAGCATGGCCGAACCTCAACCTGCCAACGGCCACGGTCAACTTTTCGGTGCATCTGTTCTCGCAGCGGGAGAAGATCATGACGACCTATCGTTCATAGACATCGTTCACAAATGGCAAAACTTCACATTCACGTTTCAATCCCAAATCAACTCTACCGTTCTCGCGTTCACTCCTGTTCCTGTTTCCCAAATCACGGTTGGTAAGGAACGGGGTGGGAACGCTATAGATCCTCCTTTGATACCGTATAGTGCAATTCAGTTTCAACTTACGTTACCATTGGGTGTTCCAACGATATCTTCAGAGATGGAGGAAGGAAGGCAGTTGTTCTTCCAGGAGTAAATAAAAATTCCTACTCAGTTCAAAGGATTCTTAATTCCGTACTAATCCAACAATTGTTGAATCCCTCACCAGGGCACCCCGTTCTCCCGGATTTCCACTTTATATGAACGAATGTGACGTGAAGCAGTCGGTATTCGAAACGTATGGTCAATATGAATTCCTCAAGCAAACGTATATGAAGTACGATCCTACAAGGTGCAGTCTTTCTGATTGAACATAGGTCAAGGAAGTGACGTACTCACTGAGTTGTCTAGGTTCAACGTGAGACACACTAATGGCCCCCAAGGACTATAGGAGGTGATATGGAGTCTAATTTACTTATCGTGATACTGATCGATTTCTTATGATTTACGTATCGTTTGTAAACCTCAATAAAGTATAATAACTCTTCAAGATTCCTCAGCGCGAAACATTCATACATCCCGAAGTGTTCAATAATACTACTTACTAGTCCTACATAACACTCTTGATGAGCTCATTAGTCTGCCTCTCTCTCGGTCCGGAGGGACGACGACTTTACCCGTCGAGCCACGTACTAACAGAACGATTTTCAAAATCAAGTTATGCGCATGCCCGAAAATCACCCGACTTGAAAGGAGACGACACAGCCCTCAGGAATATACATGAATCGCATCCTATAAAACGATGACAATCCCCTGATTTCCAACGACGATCATTGAAGATTCCTACCACCTTCACGGCGAGAATACTCCTTCACGGGATGATCTATCCGTCTGGAAGTTGGGTATAAAAATTGCATGGTAATCTCTATCGACCTTCGTGTCCTTCCTTTCTTCCTTTCTCTCTGTTCATACAACCCTATTCACGTCTCTCTAATAACGACCATGAAGTTCTCTACTCTCGTCACTCTCTCCCTTACTGCAGTCAGCTCCACTCTCGCTGCACCTATGAGGGAGAACCTATTTGCTCGTGCGCTCAGCCCCGGTGACTCCAATTGCATCCCCTACTTTAAATATGAAGGCATCTACCATTCAACATACGAACAATCTTGTGTCAATCTTGTAAGCCCTTTGTTTGTAGATGCTCTATGACCCTTTTTCTTTCCTTCTTCTAGTATCCTTTCATCTTTGATCATTCCGACTTGTTCTATAATTTGTACATCCGAGAACTAACTCAACTGATCAAGGTAAGGGACTGTAAGAGCAAAGTCGTCAATACTACCTCCGACATTTGGGGCGTCAAATCCTGCGTCGCAGCTGCCACATGTCAGGGCGTCATTCCTCTCATCGCTCAAATCCAATGCACCGAAGGAGGCTCAGTTCCTGATGCACCTGAGACTGAGAGTCTAGATTATAATGTATGTTTATTTCGTTCTAAACTTTGGACGAATATAAATACTGAGTACTAATCAATTTTCATGAACATAATATCATGTATGCAGATCTACGCAGGCATCGTCGGCGACTGTGCATGGCAAGAGGGCGGATGTCCCATTACCCAACAGAACTACATTGACTTCATCTATGGAGCTCTCTCTGAGATCGGAACCACTTCCTGGCCTAAGTGAGTCTTTCTTTCTTCCCTTTATCTATCAATAGCAACTCCGAGTCGACCTTATCCCCTTTTCTTTTCCAGCGTTGACAACGTCATCACCAATTGGTGGGATTACCTCAAAGTTTGGACCGCAACTGGCGAGACCGTTCCTTACCTCAACTTGAACGACTGGCTGCACTATTCCAACTCAAGCTAAATCCGCGAATCTTTATTAGGATAGTACGACCCGCTCACGCATTTGAACAATGATTAGTACCTGGTTGTTGGATTTAGAAAGGACTTTTTTATATCCTCGTTTAAATAAATACTTGAATAGTTTCAGTAATGAAGATTGACTACTAGATGGGACAATGAATTCGCATTAACTATCCAGTGTATCATTAATGTTCTCGTAAAAAGTATAGAGATGTAGCACTAAACTATGGTGATGCTAACACTAGACGACTCCAGGTCAGGAGAAAGACTTGCCTACGTTTCACATCAGTTTCAAATCTCAATCTACGTCAAGGTTTCACTTACCCCCAACAAGAAGAAGTGTGCGAAGTTTAGTTGTGCTGGTCCTTTCGGAATATCGCTCGGTATCTGAACAGTAATATTCTGATGAGGTTGACTTTCATTGCCGAACTGGGGATTGAAGTCTCCATTGTACAAGATTTGACCCATAGAATCGCTCGGTGGGAGACAACCTTGTGGGTTCTGACCACAGGAAGAAAGGCCCAGAACAACACCAACTTCTTCAGAGCTAGAGAGTGTGTTCTAGATATAAAAAGTAAGTAATGACCCAACCGAAATAAGTAGACAGTACTGACAGGACGGATAATATCAACGTTTAAAGGGGATCCTGCAGAAACAGACGTCCCGTCGGTTGGAAACTCAATATGGGCGCTTTGAGCGAGTGATACTGCAGCCAAGGACAAGATAGTGAGGACCTTCATTCTACGAAGAGATGCGAGAATGTGTAGTTTTTCTGGTCTTATATACCTAACTCTGTTTCTCTTCCGTATGATACGGGTCGCGGGGTTTGTCTTGCCGGGTGGCTGCCGTGAAATGCAGGAACGTATGCTGGGCATGCCGGCGCACCTCCCCGTTTACAGTTAGGCCCCGACTTTAGAGTAGATCCTAGAGCTTAGCTTGCGCCCATTGCACAGCAAAGTGGACCTAGATCCGCTGTTCTGAATTCTGTTTCATTTTTTCTTCCGTCATTCCCGCAAGGTGCGGTGAGGAACGGCCACTTCACTCCGAAAAATAAGAATTGACGTGGGCCGCCTTGATGAGTCTCTAGGGAACACGTCATGCGTAGGAGTAGTCTTCAGATTATAATTTCTTCCGTGAATTTCGAAAGTTGACAACCCCAAGGTCACAAACAACACCTAATAGAAGCTGTCAAAGATGTCCAAGTAATTGAGCTCCCACATTTTTTGTCCCAAAGCTGTCTGCAGCTGAAGCGCTGACCGTGACCCTTTCCTCTTGATACAGATGCTTTGGAGCTGCTTCATATTTGTCCGATGGGATTTACATTCCCAAATATGAACTGCCTATAGCCTGTTTTACCTA